TTTTTTTTGAATTTTTTTTTTTTTTTTTTTTTTTTTTAGACACAGATGGAGAAAGAGAGAGAGAGAAAGAGAGAAACCTGGATTGGTGGCCTCCCTCTCCTATGTGCCCTGACCAGGAATCTCAACCGCAACTTTTTGGTGTATGGGACAGCGCTCCAACCAACTGAGCCACCTGGCCAGGACATCAGTGCTGGTTTCTTTACTGAGGCTCATACCAGAGGCACTGGGGTGTACGTGGAGTCCATGGCAGGGTTCCTTCCCGGGGAAGTAAGGTTAGGGCACAGGACACAGAACTCTATACCCGTCTTTGATCCATCTGTGTGTACTAGTTGCTCCCTGCAGCCTTGAACCTCGCTGGTGATGGACCTATCAGTAGATGACCATGAAAAGTGAGGAGGGAGAATACAAGCAGTTCCCTATAGCCCTTACTCTGTCATCAGGTGAAGGGTTCAGGCAGCTGGGGACACTAAAATAAATACAAGGTTCAGAGTGCAGAAGAGGAGCCTGTGGGCTCCAAATGTCCACGAGGGCACAGTGTGGGGAGTAGCAGGATTGTTGTCCCATCTTCTCTGCTGCTCCAGACTGTCCTCAGCACCTCAGCGGGGCCTGTGGTCTCCTCCTAGCAGCTCAGAGGCTGTGTGGTGCTGGGCTCCCTAGCTCTGGGGCTTTGCATCTGCTGAGGAGAAAGAACAGGCAGCTTCCTTGGCCAGAGGGATTGGAGCGCCAGCCGGTAGGTAGGACAGATTTTTGCCCCTCTCCTGACACCCTAGTGGGCTCCCTACTGTGGGCTCCTCCTCTCTCTTCCTCAATCCTGGGAAGAGAGGAAGACCAGGAGTTTGTCCAGCTTTGCTAAAGACAAGCCTCTCCGAGGTGCTGTTGAAAAAGAGACTGTGCTGCCACCTAGGGGCAGACGTGTCCCTGGGCTCGCTGCTGGAGCAAGTGGACTCCTTATGGCAGGTCAACCCAAGTAGTGAAAATCCAGGATTCACTTTAAAAATAAAAAATGAGATGGAAAGGTCTAGGAGACTTATAATTTACTTTATAAAATGTACTTAAATTATTTCATTTACAAAGGCATTCCTTTTGGGGTACCTTTACAAATGTGTGCTCTCATCCTACATCTGAAATCATTTGATTTAGTTAGGAATTTATAAAACTTTTTTCCCCCATGAAGGTGGAAAAGATGGAACTTACTCTGTAAAGTGAGAAAAACTATAAAATTGGATCACTCTCCAAAAGGGCAATACAGATATACCTGGTTTTATATATTCTTCTGTCATTTGATTTTTTTCTTTAAGGCAATAAAAATAAGTGAGATAATTGTTTACATGATTAGAACTAATACAAAGGTTCAGCAAGCTGGCTAGATACATAATATCCAAAAGCTATTCATTAGAAATAACTAAATAGAAAATAAAATGGAAAAAAGATCTCATCAAATAAAACTAAACATGACCTTTACGGGAAAAAGTGATAAACCTTTATCAAGGACTGTGCCAGGAGATTCCCTGGGAGGGGGCTCCTTTCAGTTATTTGCTCAGCGACAATCCCTGCTGATAAAGGAGCAGGCATCTGACACAGAATGATGAAAAAGTCGTTGGTATTTTGATCATGGAACTAAGAGGTCCTTGACCAATTGGATACTCAAGTTTCTGAGAAGACATGACTTAATGATTGAAAAAATAAAAGGTGTCGGAGGTAGCAGAGGAAATGAGCCAAACTGAAAGCCTGTGGATAGATAGTGGCAGGGCATGGCGGGCATGGCGGGCATGGCTCGGTGGTTGAGCATCTACCTAGGAACCAGGAGATTACGGTTAGATTCTCAGGGCACATGCCTGGGTTGCTGGCTCGATCCCCAGTCGGGGGCGCACAGGAGGCAGCCGATCGATGACAACTCTCTCATCATTGATGTTTCTCTCTCTCTCCCTCTCCCTTTCCCTTAAATCAATAAAGATATTAAAAAAAAAAAGATAGTGGCACGGTGGTATCAGTGATTAGCATTAACCTCAAAACAGCACAGGGTTCTGCAAAAGGCTGATGACCACATCCAGACCTGAGACCATGGGACAAGAGAGTGACAAGACTTACCTGTGAGGTATATTGATGACATCCCTGTTTACAAGGAGTTTATACTTTAAAGAATTAATAATAATTATTTGTATTACTTGTTCCCTTCATCTCACTTTCCAGACCTTTCCCATGATCCACCATATTGGTTTATATATAATCACAACAGAATTTGGAAAACGGAACATTTTTATATTAAAATGTATGTGTGTGCACACCGTTCCCAGGTAGCTCAGTTGGTTGGAGTGTTGTCCTGATACGCCAAGGTTGCAGGTTCGATCCCTGGTCAGGACACATACAAGAATCAACCAGTGAATGCATCGATAAGTGGAACAAATCGATGTCTCTCTCTCAAAAAAAAAAATGTGTGTCTCTTATCTACCTGCTTATCTATCATCTATCTATCATCTATCTATCTATCTATCTATCTATCTATCTATCTATCTATCTATCTATCTATCTATCATCTATCTATCAATCTATCTATCTATCTATCTATCTATCTATCATCTATCATCTATCTATCATCTATCTATCTATGTAGGTATATGAACAAACACAGAATGAGGAGGTGACATGAGAAGGGATGGGTAGATTTAGAATTAAAGCCGTATTTCTCAATGGCAGCACTCTTTGACATTTCGGGCCAGATAATTCTTCATTGTAGGAGCTGTCCTGTGCATTGCAGGATGTTGGAAACATCCTTGGCCTCTGCCACTAGATGCCAGTAGCATTCCCTCCTCCGTCATGGCAACCAAACATATCTAAAACTGTCCCCTGTTGAGAATCACTAGGTTAAGGGCGTGTGTGAAAAAAGAATAAGAACAGGACACAATTCAAATAAACTGGCAAAACTCTGGCTGTCTCAGTTCGTGGCCCCAGTGGCATTCAATTAGGCTTCTCTAAACTTTAGCACAAGCTCAGTGATTTATAGTCTCCGGTTTCTACTCTCACTTCCCCGAGTTGGCCATGCAACAGACTTTAATGGCAACGTTCCTCCTTGACTGCTGGGAAGTGCTGATGGTGGGAGAAGAGGGGTGTCACCTGCCTTCCTCTGAGACTTCTAGTCTTTTCTCAGCCCCATATTTTCCATTTAAAAATGTCCTTAAAACGAACATAGGTCTTCCTTAAGGAAGCTGTGTTTCCACTCAAACGTGTTTGAAGAGCTAAAGTACATAATCAGCGCTGTCTTTACTCAAGGGAAGAACAATCTAACATGATATCATTTATTAACATCAAGACTAAGTTCAGTAATTTTGCTCCTTGGACACTTATCTCAGGATGAATTATGAACATCACACAACACACAAACTGGCATTCAAAATATTTACAAAAATCATATAAGACAACAACAAAATAACTCAATTTAAAAAATGGGAGGAGTCAGAATAGCTGTTTCTCCAGAAAAGATGAATGGCTTGTCCAATAAGCACAGAAAAAGATGCTCAAATCACCATAATTAGGGAAATGCAACTCAAAACCGCAGTGAGATATCACCCCGCACCCATCAGAATGGCCACGATAAAAACAAACAAAGCAGCGAGTACTGATGAGGCTGTGGCAAGACTGAAACCCTTGTGCGCTGCTGATGGGGGTGTAACATGGCACAGTTGTTATGGAAACCAGCATGACAATTCCTAGAAATATTAAAAGTAGCATAACCATATTATCTGGCCACTCAACTTCTGGATATATACCTAAAAGGACTGGCAGTGAGGCCATGGACGGATCCTTGCACACCCACGTTTGCAGCAGCATTATCCACAGGAGCCAAGTGGCAGCGACCTAACTGTCCGTTGCTGATGGAAGGATAAACAAAGCGTGGAATATACATATGGCGGAATATTATTTGGCCTTAAAAAGAGGAAATTCTGACACATGCTACAACATGGATGAACCTTGAGGACATTATATTGAGTGAAATAAGCCAGTCACAAGAAGACAAATACTGTATGATTCCACTTGCACGAGGTATTAGTCATATTCACAGAGATAAGGTAGACTGGTGGTTGCCCGGGGCTGCAGGGGGAGGAATGGGGAGTTATCCTTTGACAGTCACATGGTTTCTGTTTTACGAGATGAGGAAAGTTCTGCAGATGTGGTGATGATGATGGCTGCACGACAGACAGTGTGAGTGCACTTAATGCCACTGAACTGTACACTTAAAAATGGTGAAGATGGTAACCTTTGTTATGTGTATTTTACCACAATTAAAAATTTTAAAAATACAAGAAATGACAGGAAAGGATTAGCTGAGTTTAAGGCAATATTTATTCAATTTCCTTGCTGTCGTATTATCTAAGGCATAAGTGGTGACTATTTGGCAAGGATGCAGTTCCTTTTAAGGCCTTGCATAGTTGGATTTTAGTTCGGAAATACATCACATTTGGTATAAATTTGAAAGAACATATTCTGGCATGGGCTCTTAATCACGAGAAATGCATCTTTGCCTCACCATCCCCTGGTGAAAATCACTTTCAGTGGCAGGGCAGGGCCAGTTTTGCAGCTGCTCTCAAGGTCACTGGTTCACTGTGGCCTGGCCAAGGGAAGTAAGAGTGGGCCACGGCAGGCTCCATGCTCTCAGGCTGTTCTCTCAATGATGACTGCGATGCCTTGGCCACCTCCAATGCAAGCCGATCCAACAGCGTATTTTCCACCTCGACGCCTAAGGAAGAAAGCAGTGGCTGAAATCTACTCAGATAAAGAATAAACTGAATTGATTAGATAATTAAGTAAACAGAATTACTAATGGTCACATCTGTATTATTCATTCGTATTCAGTTCATCATCTCAATACTTTCCTAATCCACAATATTAGTTTATAGTCACAACAGGAGAAAGAATTAGGAAAGCTGAATATTTTTATTTAAAAAAAACAGTAATGGTTGCAAGCTGGGGATGCAGGTCTCTCATCCACAGGATAGGGTTTGTTCAAGTTGTTAAGAATAAGGCCTACTTCAAGGGACCAAGTGAAATCTAGAAGTCTACGAGAGGGTGAAATTGATTACTATGCCCAGAAAAACTGGTAATCCAGGACAAAAATAAATACAACACACCCAAATACAGGATGATAGTTGTGTACCCAACAGAGAAATCATCTGTCAGATTGCCTACGTCCATATAGGAGGAGATAAGATAGTGAGTGCAGCTTATGCTCACGAACTCCCAAAGTATGGTGTGCAGGTTGGTCTGACAAATTATGCTGTAGCACATCGTATGGGCCTGCTGCTGGCCCACAGGCTGCTCATCAGGTTTGGCCTGGATAGAATGTATGAAGGCCACGTGGAGGTGACTAGAGGTGAATACAATGGAAAGCACTGATGGTCAACCTGGTGACTTCGTCTGCTAAAATCTGGGTGAAGGGCTTGCCAAAACTACTACTAGAAATAAAGTTTTTGGGGCCCTGAGGGGAGCCGTGGATGGAGGCTTGAGTATTCCTCACAGTGCCAAGCAATTCACTGGTTATGATTCAGAAAACAAGGAATTCATCACAGAAGTATATCAGAAGCACATCATGGGTGAGAATGTTGCAGATTATATGCATTATCTAATAGAAGAAGAAGATGCTTACAAGAGACAATTCTCTTTAAAAAAAATGTTTTTAATAGATTTTTAGAGATGAAGTGAGGGAGAGGGAGAAAGAGACAGAAAGAGGGTGATTGATGTGAGAAACATCCATCGGTTGCCTCCCGTATGTGCCCTGACCAGGGATTGAACCTGCAACCTTTTTGGTGCATGAAACAATGTTCCAACCAACTCAGCTACTGGGCCAGGGCAGAAACAATTCTCTTAATACATAAAGAACAATGTAACTCCAGACATGATGGAGGAGATGCCCAAGAAAGCTCATGCTGCAATATGAGAGAATCCAGTCTATGAGGATAAGAAAGACGTTAAAAAGAGGTGGAATGTTCCAAAATGTCTCTTGCCCAGAAGATCAGGTAGCTCAGAAGAAGGCAAGTGTCCTCAGTGCTCAGGAACAGGCTGCTGAGAGCTAGTAAACCAAACCACAATTTTCTGTGAAGGTTTTTCAGATAAAGACAGTAATAAACTTATTGGCCAA